CGTTTAAATTAAATAAAATTACTAATAAAAGAATTAAAATATTTAAGAACAAATCCCTTGAAGGTAGGAAACCAAACTTTAGTTTGAATTGAACATCAAATTTGTTAGGGTTGTTAAATATATGTAAATTCCAAGCAAAATATAGGAAGGGCATTATGGGGAAAAAGTTTTAAAATGTAAAATTTCAAATATACCCTTTAACCATTTTTGCAAAATTATAAACTAATGGACATTTTGTTAAGTGGGTGGCCAAATTTAGCCACTCACCTAAATTTCCCTTAAAAAAAACTAGATAATTTGAAAAACCTGATCAATCTAACCAAATCCATACTGTTTGGGTTGGGTTATAAACTTGTTTGGGTTGGATCAGGTTCAAATAGATGCAAATTCTATAGATTGGCTTGATTTAAGAGTTCACCTAAAATATGTTTGGGTTGAGCTAAACCAACCCAAACTTATTATTAATTTAATTTTTTTTATAAAAAATAATTTTAAAATTATTTCTTTTACTCACCATAAAAAATTATATAGTTATATTTATTTTAGTTTTATTTCATTCAATGATTCTTTATGAATTATTTATTCTAGGGCAAAATACACTTTTGGTATCTGAGGTTTGAGTTAGATGTCTATTTGGTAAGTTTCAAAATGAACACTTTTGATCTCTGAGGTTTGAGGTAGGTGTCTACTTGGTCCTTGAAGTTTCAAAATGAACATATTTGGTCCTTGAGATTTAAAGTAGGTGTCAACTTGGTCCCTGAAATTTTAAAATGAACACTTTTGATTCCTAAAATTTGAAAAATAATTCTAAATGATCCATAAATTAACTAATATTAAAATGACGTGGCAAATTGTATTAATTAAATAATATATATGTGTAGGTGAACTTTTTCTCTCCTCTTTCCCTCTCTTACTCTCTCTTTCTCCTACCTTTCTCTGGCGACTGTCTTTGCCGCCTTCGTCTGTCATTCATATTGGACATATATCATTTAATTAATATAATTTATCACATCAACAACTATAATAAACAATTTAATTGCAATTTGTCACATAATTTTAATTTTAGTTAATTAACCGTTAAAAAAATGAGGGACCATTTAGAACTATGTCTCAAACTTCAAGGACAAACCTATTTTAAACCTCAAGGACCAGCTCTAAATAGTACTGTTATTATACCTATCAAAGCTATTAGATTCATTAGGTAAGGTATTACTATAAAAAGCGGAAGAAGCCGAGCGACAAGAAAAATTCCTGCTGCTACCATCGTAGCAGCATGTATAAGAGCCGAAATGGGGGTAGGGCCCTCCATAGCATCAGGTAACCATACATGAAGAGGAAATTGAGCGGATTTAGCAACTGCACCTGCAAATAATAGGACCGCGCACAAAGTAACAAATAAGAAATTAACCTCATTATTATAAATCAAGTTATTGAATATTTTAAACAAATCGCGAAATTCAAAACTCCCCGTTGTCCAATAAAGACCTAAAATCCCTAATAATAAACCAAAATCCCCCACGCGATTAGTTACAAATGCCTTTTGAAAAGTGTTCATTTTGAAACTTCAAGGACCAAATAGACACCTACTGGTTTCAAAAACAACATTTTAAAGTTTTTGAATTGTAATTTTTCACCATATAAATAAACTTACGAATTTTGATTCAATGTTAGATAATATATAAATAAATGTTTAAAATATTATAATTTATTTTTTTGTTAAAGATTTTATGGTTGGGTTGAGTTTATTATTTAATAAAAGTTGTTTGGATAGAATAAATTTAGAACCAACCTAAACAATTAGATTAGGTCTAAAAAGTATCTCAATCCAATCTAACCCAACTCAACTTATGTACACCCATAATTAAAATTATAGAGTAAAAATTGATACAACTTACTAAGTGTAACAAAACTAAATTCGAAAAACACCCGAACCTTAGGAATTAAAACATATATCCAAGCAAGACTAAATTATATAATTAACCACACTTCTATCATATAGTAATGAAAATATGAATTCACCCCTTCGAAATGAGTAATCTGCAAAAGACTTTCTAGGAGCCTTGTTTAGTAGGCAAGGGCACCCCGATTAAAAAAAAAAGTTTCAATCAACCGATAAATTCAAACCGTTGTCTCGTCAAATCACTTTACAGTTGTTGTTGGTCTAGCAATCCCTCCTAACTGTCCTTGTAAACAGATGCGCTACACTACCGAACGCGTAATTTCGAGACCTATAACTCATAATTCAAAAGGAGCATTGTAGCAAATTCTTTGATCAGAGGAGCCTCTTTACTAGTACTAGGTAAGGACTTGTGAAGTACAAGCAAGAAACATCAACTTTTCCAAAGGAGGGTTCCTCAAGTGGATTTGAAGGCTCCACATGTTGGCCCATTTCTAGAACCATAGAGATTTGATCAAATTTCCCATGTCTATTTCTTGTTCCTCCACACTCCTGCAACTGCAACTGTGCAAGTCCTAATCCCCAACTCCAAATTCAATTTTCACAGCAAAATCTCTATTTGTATTAAATTCCTTGACAGAATTTGTTGGGCCATTTATACACAAACCCCAAATTCAATCTTGATTTTTCAATCCATTCCAGCCAAAAAAAGCCAACAAATGCTCAGAATTCTCCCTCTCCGGCGATCCCACCGCCGCCTCCTATCTCCACCCGCCGCCGCCATTTCCAGAACCCCTTTGAATCATCATCATCATCCTCCCTCGTTTTCCACTGTTTCTCCTCCGCCGCCGTCGTCCTCTTTCGATTCCGAGCTCCGTAAGTACCTCGGCTATGGCGCCCTCGTCGTGTTCTGCGGCGCCGCCACTTACTACTCCTTCCCTTTCCCCGAGAACGCCAAGCACAAGAAGGCCCAGATCTTCCGATACGCTCCTCTCCCCGAGGATCTCCACACTGTGTCCAATTGGAGCGGGACTCACGAGGTTCAGACGCGGGTGTTTCAGCAGCCGGAGAATTTGGAGCAGCTGGAGCAAGTGGTGAAGGAGGCTAACGAGAAGAAGGCCAGGATTCGGCCGGTTGGGTCCGGGCTTTCGCCTAATGGGATTGGGCTGTCGAGGATGGGGATGGTGAATTTGGCGTTAATGGATAAGGTTTTGGAAGTGGATAAGGAGAAGAAGAGGGTTAGGGTTCAGGCGGGAATTCGAGTTCAGCAGCTTGTGGATGGAATCAAGGAACATGGGCTTACTTTACAGAACTTTGCGTCTATCAGGGAGCAGCAGATTGGTGGCATCATTCAGGTGCTTTTTAAGAGGATTTCTGTGCGTTTGATGTAATTCAATTGATAATTTAAGTGCTATGTTCGATTTTCTGCTGCATTTTTTTTTACCTATTTGAAAATTTGAATTTCAAAGACATGAAAGTATAGTAGACAAATTTGAGTAATTGCCTCTATCAGGGAGCAGTAGATTGGTGGCAGCATTTCAGGTGTTTAGTATGAGGATTTCTGTGCTTTTGATGTAATTCAATTGATAATTCAAGTGCAATGTTGGACTTTCTGCTGTATTTTGATCTATTTGAAAATTTGAACTTCAAAGACATGAAAGTATAGCAGACAAATTTGCGTAATTGCCTCTATCAGGGAGCAGTAGATTTGTGGCATCATTCAGGMGCTTTGTATGAGGATTTGTGTGCTTTTGATGTAATTCAATTGATTATTGAAGTTAACCGTTGGACTTTCTGCTGCATTTTGATCTATTTGAAATTTTGAACTTCAAAGACATGAAAGTATAGCAGACAAATTTGCGTAATTGCCTCTATCAGGGAGCAGTAGATTTGTGGCATCATTCAGGAGCTTTGTATGAGGATTTGTGTGCTTTTGATGTAATTCAATTGATTATTGAAGTTAACCGTTGGACTTTCTGCTGCATTTTGATCTATTTGAAATTTTGAACTTCAAATACATGAATGTAAATATGAGTAATTGCCTCTATCCAGTGGTGTAAAGTGGTTTTAATTTGAGTAAAGAAATGGGATAAGGTTGATTTCTTGTCTAGAATGTACTGAAACCGATCTGATTTGATCTGCAAAATTCCAATCAATTTTGATCAGTTTGATGGTTTTTTTTCTTTTTTTTTTAATTTTATTTTTATAGGAGAGTCATTTTTAATCTCTTGTGATTTTGTAACTGAAAGAACATCCCATGTTTTCTTCTGCCTGTTTTAAGGAGATATTTCTAAACCACCTCTGCCCCACAAAGGAAAAAAAAATCCTGATATTGCATTTAATATCTGGCTTCAAGACAATTGAAGTTTTTGTTTAGTCATGTATTTTCTGGATCTGTAATAAATCTTTCTTACGCTCTTTTCACAATTATGCATTTAGGTTGGTGCACATGGTACTGGTCCAAAATTGCCTCCCATTGACGAGCAGGTCATCGCTATGAAATTGGTCACACCAGCCAAGGGTACAATAGAGATTTCCAAAGAAAAAGACCCAGAGCTGTTTTATCTAGCTCGCTGTGGTCTCGGGGGCCTTGGAGTGGTTGCTGAAGTTACCCTCCAGTGTGTTGAGAGACAGGAACTTGTGGAGCACACATACATTTCCAACATGAATGACATCAAGAAGAACCACAAGTAATTGTGTATTTTTTTAACAGTTTAATGCAGTTGTATTTTATGTTACAGTATGAAATGATAGTTCATATCTCACCTTTATTCTTCTTTTTACAATGTTTCAAGGTTAGATTGAAGCATATGAAATTACAAAAGAAACAATTTCATTGATGGTATGAAATTACAAAAGGGGAACCCCATCCAAGAGGGTTACATAAAACCTCTTCATTTGGATAAAAGGGAAGAAAAACTATAGTGATGGAACATGGGTAGCATTTACACTAAGAAACAACCAAATATACTATAGCTTTAAAAAAAAATTGATGAAATAGAAGTCATTTACCTTTGAAGATTCGTTGATTTGTTTCTCGCCAAGTGACTCTTAAGAAGGCTCTTATATCCAAGGTCTAAGACTCTCTCTGTTTGCAGGAAATTATTGACTGATAATAAGCACGTGAAATATCTGTATATTCCTTACACTGATGCTGTCGTTGTTGTGACTTGCAATCCTATCTCAAAATGGAGAGGTCCTCCCAAGTTGAAACCAAAATATACTAGTGATGAAGCCATACAACATGTTCGTGATCTCTACGCGGAGTCCCTTAAAAAATACAGGTTACAACTACCTTCTGTTTGAGTATTATTTAGTTATCAATAATTTTAGGATGTCAGGAACAGGTTGAATGAAGTATGCATGTTAATAGTTGATCCTCTCAGAGCACTTTTCATTCCTCTCGATTTGTCTCTCGTCTTTTGGTTGATATTCATCTTTCATCAAGAGTCAGTTATCCTTCCCCTTCTACAAATTCCTTTTTCTGTGTATATATGTTTAAAGGTAAATCTTCTTCAAATCTTCTTCCTCGTACTGTTTTCCAAGTTATTTTCCTTTAATCTGATTATTTTCTTGATAATTGCAGCACTAGTGACGAAACAGACATAAATGAGTATTCATATACTGAGTTGCGCGATAAACTACTTGCCCTCGATCCTCTTAACAAAGAGCATGTCACGAAAGTTAATCAAGCAGAGGCTGAGTTCTGGAGGAAGTCGGAGGGATATAAAGTTGGATGGAGTGATGAAATTTTAGGTTTCGATTGTGGTGGCCAACAATGGGTCTCCGAGACTTGCTTTCCGGCTGGTACTCTCGCAAAGCCTAGCATGAAAGACATTAAATATATAGAGGATTTGAAGCAACTTATTGAAAAAGAAAACATACCTGCACCTGCTCCTATTGAGCAACGCTGGACGGCTTGTAGCAAGAGCCCCATGAGTCCAGCTTCAAGCTTGGCACAGGATGATCTATTCTCTTGGGTAAATTCTGCACATCAATCTTTTTATTTCCTCTCTTTTTAAGTTTTAAGCTTTTGAGGTACCTTGTAAGATCCCTAGGCTTAACTTTAATAACTTAAAACCTTTGTTGTCTTCCCGAGTTGGTCTCTGAAACCTCCCGGGGATTAGCTCAACAAAGATCTATACTTGTGTATTGTGCATGAGATATCTTTGAAGAAATGGTGGAAGCAATTTACACTCTTTCTGCATAGAAGTAAAAACGAAGTGTCATAAAGTTTATACAAAAGAATCTCATTTTCTGAACAGTGTTATGGTCTTATATTGAGATGATTCTACTAGTATATCCGTTTCCCTCTATTAGTGATTGCTTATGGTTGGACGATTAGACAACGGTTGTCGCATAGAAGAAAAGGGTACAATTTCGTATTCTCATTTTTAACCGTTACAATCTCGCCTTCAAGAATTTTAGTGTTTCTTCTTCATAATTTCTGTTTGGTGACTCTCCCAAGCTTTACCTAGTTGCTAATTCTCAAACCTTGACCATATTAGAAATCTTTACTCAATTGTCAAAAGATAGTATATTTGAGTCTCTCCTATGAGAACTCGATTGACTGTGGTTTGTTCTTCATCAGTCATTTCGTGCAGTAATCAGTGGTCTTTTTGATGCCATCAGGTCGGAATAATCATGTACCTGCCTACTCTGGATGCGCGCCAGAGGAAGGAAATAACAGAGGAGTTCTTTCACTATAGGCATCTCACCCAATCACAGCTATGGGATCAATATTCTGCCTTTGAACACTGGGCTAAGATTGAGGTACCCACTTTCAAAATCTTATGTTTTCAAGTGGCTTGCTTCACTAACTTCTGAACCATAATCATACTGATTAAGCCCACCTGGAAAATCGCACGAAAAAGTTGACGTTCTTCGTTGTCATGGATGTAATATTTTCAGGTTCCAAGGGACAAGGAAGAGCTTGCAGCCCTTCAAGCAAGACTTAGGAAACGGTTTCCTGTCGACGAATTCAACAAGGCACAGCGGGCATTGGACCCGAACAAAATTCTTTCAAACAACAAGTTAGAAAAGTTGTTCCCATCCAACGACGCTGTCTGAGTAGCATAGAATGCTCTCTGTCTTTGTAATAAGAAGTTGGGTAATCAGTTGGGTAGGTGTTTATTATTACTACAATTATTCACAGGAATGATGTATTTGTGTTCTCCTGTGGTATATTCTTTTGGAAAAATTTTGAAAATTTTATTGGCCATAAGAAGTATACTTGAGGGAAGAGTTTCGTTTGGGATTACTTTTTTTTTTTTTTCTTAAACGCCTTTTCAATGAAATCACTTTTCCTATAAGTACTTGAAAAGAATTATTAATTTAAAATGTATTTAAGGCAGTTTTAGATGACTAAAAATAGTTTTTATAGAAAATAAAATTGGTTTAATGTAACGCTCCAAGATTCGAAATTCAAATTTGGCTCTAATTGTCCCGACATTTCCTTGCGATGGGGCTACGCCACCATTTATATATGAGCTACTTAAAAGGACGAATATTATCCCTACAGACCACCATCTATTTCTACACGTGCGTCAAATTTAAGAATTTTTTTTTTTTAATTTTTATGGAGAATCACTTGGAAGATGAATATCAAGAAAGCAACTTTAAAATAAAAATAAATGTAGGGCTAAAAGGGAATCAGAATTGTAATTGTTTTTCAAACTAGTTAACGCAGATCAAAGATCTTGACATCAAAATTAAGGATTAATTAAGAGTAAAATTCAGATTAAATTATAAATCAATTAAAAAAAATTTGATTATGTTCTTATTCTAAAACTTTGAATAGAGAATTTGAGTAGTCTCTACGGAATAGCATTAAGTAATAATAGAGTGCAGAAATTCAAAAAGAGATTTGTTGATTTGATTGGTTATTTGTGGTGTCTGCTTCCAAGTGGTCATGTGAAAAATGATATCCCACATCGGATAGTAGGAAGTAAGAATAATAGTATTTAAATGGAGAGACGAAATGGAGAGGACACAGGCACGACCTTACTTGAACAGGATTTGTTCGATAGGTTGTACGACTGCCTCCTTGAGTTCTAAGGAGACAAGAATCATAGTCTGGCAGAGCATGCTTTGAAAGAAGTGATTTGTTATGGCTTACATGCAATTCGACTGATAATTTCATGTGCACACATATATGAGATACCCATGATTTTGTCGTTCCTATTTTTAGACCTTATCTCATATATTAAATTTCAAATGTTATTCTTCCTTTTACCTTTTATAAGATCATAATGTGAATTTAAAACAAAATAATATATAATTACTTTAAACTCAAATAATCCTAGTAAACAAATAGAAAAGAGTGAATTAATGTTTAAAGATATTACTACATTTTGGATCAAAATAATGTTGGCTTTCTCCTTGGGAAAAAAGCTGCCAAAATCTGCTCCTATAAGGCTATAACTACAAACAACCAACTATATGGATATAATAAATAGAGGGATCAGCCATATTCTAAAGGCCAAGATTGCAGGATTGGACAACCTCCAAGTCATAATCCACATACCTTGTCCAATATGGCTTGAACTGGGAGATGGCAATGTCCAGCCATGGCTTCATGTTCCCATTGAAGTGCACAACTGCAGCATTTTGAATCTCCTCCTTGCTAATGCTCGGGTTGTAACCGAGTCCCAGGACGTGCCATGTCTTGTCCAGTGGCTTTGTCGTCGAGTAAAATGTGATTAAACCAGGAGGCAACGTCCCCAGTTTCCACAACGTTCGATTTTCATTCTGCACACAACACGTTCAATAGTTAGCCGGTGATAAAAGGGTATGTTAGCTCAAGAGTGTAAGGTTTTCAATATTATTCTATCAGAATTGTCACGAAACCAGAGAATGCTAATAACACGAGGTTCGCAGAGAAGTGTTAGAGAAGATGTAGTTGTAAGTAAAGTCAGATATTTGAAATGGGACAGTCCCCATTTGGCCAAAAAAGCTTGTTATGAAGGAAATGAACTATAGCTCCTCTTACCATATTCTGCCAGTAGTGATAATCTTCTGTGCATTTTTCCCTTCTCCAAGCATCCAAGTCGAAGAAGTTCATTCCATAAGCCCACGCGCACGCCTTGGGATCAAACTTCTCCTTGATTAATGGATGTGAGAAGTTCATGTACTGTGCATATCTATGGAACGAGCCAAAACAGGTCTCCACTGCTCCGTTTACTTTTCCATTCATATCAATCTTCCACAAGCCAGTCAAGTCCTTCTGGACCACTATGTCATCGTCCAGAAACAAAATTCTGTGTAGTTTTGGGTACATCTCAGGCAAGTAAAACCGCAAATGGTTCAGAATTGATAGATACTTGGGATTTCTGAACTTCATATTTGTCGAGTCCTTCGTCGCATTTTCAACACTGTTCTCAAAGTAGAACCTTTGTAAATTCGCAGACTCTAACTGGCGAAGCACTGGAACGTAAGAAGAATTCAAGAACTTGTAATCCTCCACTGCCTTGACTTCAATGTGAGCTCCATTATAGTTTTTCAATTTGAACATAACTTGCATTGCCCCAAGATTCATCTTGTCAGTAACGACATGAAACACATGCTTCCATGGTTCTTCGGCATTCTTCACAGCGGAATTAACCACCACTGATGCAGCAACAACATTATCCGAGAATATCGCATAATGGTATAGATTTGGATCCTCTATTTCGGGCAGTACTGGCTTTCCTACGTCTGAATATTTCTCAGGATTCGCAATCCTCTCTTCCATTAACCTCATTGCAATGCAGTGCAAGCTTTTCGGAAGAGACTTTGCTGCAATCAAACTTGAGAAAGCTCCTTGTTTCTTGGCTTTCGTCAACAGTTCATTCGATGCAAAAATCGTATCCTTCAGCTTCTGGATCTTGAGTTGATTGTCAAACGACTCTTTCGCTTCGGCAATCACTTGTCGGGTGACTTTTATACGCTCCTTCACCTCCTTCTCAAATTGACGAAGCAGAGCTTCATCCATGGTAGGCGTGTCATGCTCAAAGAGACTACGGTAAGCAGGTTTATTATTGAGATCCGTATAGTTCTGAGAAAGATCCGCGAATACCCTAACAATCTTCGAGTACTCAAGCTTAAGCCTTCGAGCATAAGAGGCATATGCTTGAAGCAAATTCCGATGGTCATCAGCTTGCTTCCGGATCTGATCCAGCCGCGGTTTCAGAGGATCCGATTTCACAGCTAATGGAAGTCTTCTCCCGGAATTGATCCGATCAGAGTCAGAGCCAGAACCATAACCCTAATTTCATAACACAACATGAACAAATTTACTCCCTAACTTCAATCATTGCAACAAATTTCCAGGGAAACAAATAATAAATAAACACCATAATTAATGTAAATATCTGAAAATCAAACGTTCGGCAGTGAACCACACTCATGAAAACTTGTCAATTTCAATGCGACTAAACATCAATCACAGCCGGATCCAGTGACGCAAAATAGAACAGAGCGATTACATTTCTCGGAGATGAAGAAGAAAATTTCATAAACCAACGATTAGTGACGGAATAAGAGTAAAATAGGAGTGCTTACAGTTACAGGAAATGGGAGATCAGAAGTGTCGGTGCTGAAAGTGAACACGGAGAGAGAGAAGAAGATGAACAATGCAACGGAGGCGAGAACTCTGAAGGAGAAAATTCTGGCCACGCTTCGAAGAATTTGTTCTTCATGGCTTCTACCACCATTTCGTAGATTCGCCATTTTTCAATCTCTCAGAGAAAGAGAGAGAGGTTGAAGAAGAGAGAGTTGAATCAGAACCTCTCGGTTTCCAAAATGAGAGTGGTGTTAACTGTTCCCACGAATTTTTGTTAAATTGCAAATTTAACCTTTATAGCTTTCAAAGTTTCAATTTAGTCCTCGACTTAAGTTTAGATTAGTGCCTATAATTAATTTTAAAACTTTTAATTTCGAAAAACTGGGTAGGTTTAGTTTCAATTTGGTCTTGGAATTTTTATTTTTTTATTTTTTTTCACTCCACCACGAAGCATATATACTCATCTAATACAATCACTCAATATCATGAAAAAAAAATTATCATCATAAATAAAATGGCGTGAAATTTGACTAAACAATAGAGATTAACTGACTAATCATTTTTTAATATAATAAATGGGTGAAAAATGAACTAACAATCTTTTGGTTAGAAATAGATGTCTTAACCTATTGAATTATACTCAAGTTGATATGTTGGCGTCGGACAGACATTTGAAAAAAAAACAATGAAAATAGATGAAAATTATTTATTTATTATTATTTTGTTTTAGTACATATGTGGGGATGGTGATCAAACTTACAACTTCTTGATTGGAGATATATTTCAATTATCGCTCAGCTATGCTCGCTTCGACAAAAATTGTCTAAATTAATTTATGATGCTTTTATAATAACTAGGATTTAATATTATACGAGTTTCCTTGTCAACCAAATGTAGTAGGATCATGTAGTTGGCTGGTGAATAATCGAAGTGCGCGCAAGCTGGTTTGGACACACAGATATAAAAAAAAAATATTTACATGCTTACCTAATTAAAGAGAGATCAAATGAATGTGAAATTTTACCCCTCATCGGCTCATCAGATGTCAAAGGGTTTGCAATCTCAAAATGTAGCTCGACATTTGAAACATTGATTTTTCGTTATGGTCTATATTAAATTACAAATTTTAGTCATTGAATTTTCAAATTCGTGTCAAATAGGTCCGTAATTTAAAAAGTTGTTTAATAACTCTTTAAATTGCTAATTTAGTGTACATCTAGGTCCTGCTTTATTTCACATTTTTTTTAATTAACAAATCTATTACACATATAATTAAATTTTGTATCTAATATGTCAGTAGATTTAAAAAAGGTTGAATAGCTAGGTCAAAAATTACTAGATACAAAATTGAAATTTTAGGGACCTATTAGACACATTTTAAATTTTATAATTTATTAGACACAAAATTGAAAGATTGGAACCAATTGGACGCTTTCTAAAATTCAATGACTTATTCGACACAAACATAAAAGTTTATAGACTAAACTTATAATATAACCTATCTTTTTATTATTAACTTGATTGTTACACGCATGTGCATGTGTGTGTATACACACTAATATTTTAAGAAAATTTTGTTGCATGGCAAAAATTTAATATGTATTTTTTAAAATATTATAACTTTTGATTAAAAAAAAGGGTTTGACTAAAAAAGGGGACTTTTTCTGATATGTCTATTACATTTGAGTTTGAGTTTCACTTTAAATTATGTTATTTTTATAAAATCTGCAACTCCGTAGTATATTTGAAAATACATGAACTAAAAAATATTTATTTTATTCCATTTATATAAATGCCATATTTTATCCTTTTCTTTTTTTTCTCCTCTATATGTCATAATATGAGAGTGGAATTCGAACATCCTACTTTTTATCTATGATATATGCCTTAACTAGTTAAGTTATGTTCATTACTATATCATTGTTTAATTAACCATGTTAATATTAGGTACTATATAAAATCACATTTTAAAGTTCAAGAACATAATTGATTGTTTTTAAAATTTAAAGACTAAATAGACACCAACATCGAAATTCAAACACTATATTTGTATGTTTTAACCAAAAAAGTTTCAAAATACTTTAAAATTTAAGTTAAATTATAAGTTAAAATCCTAAAATATGATAATGGTGTTTCTTTAGTTTCTAAACATTTAAAAATTTTAATTTATAATTCATAGACCTTTCATAAAAATTAGATTATTTAATATGATGTGACCGTGAGAAAAAAAAAAAGCTAGATTGTGACACAAATGAAATGACCCGTCAATAAAAATCGTTTGATACATACTTGAAAAAGAGGGTGAGAATTCGATCCTATGATGTGGGATATATGCCTCAACGTTTTTTTTAGTACAACACGTGGAGAATCGGATTCACAACCTCTTGGTTGAAGATATATGTCGATTACTACTAAACTATACTCGTTTTGGATACCTCGCCTAATTGAACTATATCTAAAAAAACATTTAAAAATATATTTTTTTTCAAAAAAATTTGCCTTCACCTCTTAAAGTTTACAAATTTGAAAGATTATGATGAAAGAAAAAAGTTATAACTTAAATTTCCCCCTTCCCAATAAACTTCTTTGGCTATATATATCTTTGGTCACATCATCCTTTAATTCATAAAATTATAATGAATTCACAATTTATTAAATTTGTTATTTAGCTATTTTCTATTTTGCTATATTAAAAGCTCTTCTTCCCCATATTTCGTTTGAATGAAAGTTTAGAGGAGAAATCTCTGTTCCCAACTTCCTTCTTTTGAGATAAAAAAATGGAAATTAGATATTTTCAGAGAAAAAAAAAAGCAAAATTAGATTACCGAATTAGGAACTTGTCCCACATCGAAGGATTTCAAACAACAAGTGCAATTCTTAAACGGAAGAGCGTAGGCAAATAGGCACGACCTTACTTGAACAGGATCTGTTCTATATGTTGTACAACTGTTTCCTTGAATTCTAAGGAGGCAAGAATCATAGTCTGGTGGATGAACCGCCGCCCTGCGGCTAGAGCGTGATTAATGGCTCATAGGATCTTGGTCCGGCGGCTGTAGAGGATCGTTCTCGGCATGGCTCGTCCTGCTGGGATGGTCGCAGGGTGGTCTGACAGACTAAACAAATTTTTTGCATTTTTTTCCCCTTTGGTTTTCTGTAAGATCTTTGTATTCAAGAAGTGTATTGTATTCTGCGATGGGGATGATAGTGGGTTATGATAAACCTGGATCTTTTGTTTATGCTCTTTAAGTGTTTGTTGAAATGCCGCAGAGGGAGTTGGATTGGAGTTTAGGGTTTCAACTTCAACCCAATTCCTGCATATGATTAGTGGGGATTAGTCAAAAATGGTTTTTTTTTTTGGGTGCTAAAATGAAGGGGAAGGGAAAGGGAAAAGGGGATGATGGTTGAAGATTATGGGGTGAGTTGTCTTGTGTTCACCAAAATTCATAGGCTGAAAGGAAACAGGTGCAACATCTGGATTCTGGGTGTGGCCAATGTGTTTCTTCATTTGTCAAAATCTACCATTCTTAGCCATTTAAATCTGCCCCTTCATTTATTTCACCTGGGGTTGCACTAGCAATGGGTGTCTCTCTGGTTTTATTCAGAATGGACATTTTGATAAGTCAGTTGAGAATTGTTCAACCAAATGGAACCAACCTTTGCTATTTGGCTCCCTTATATACGTTGATTTAGAAGAACAAATCAACCTCCATTATGGTGTCATCTCCTTCTCAGGTTTCATGCCAAAATTGAGTTTTTATTTGATTGTGGTGGCCAACAATGGGTCCAGCTTCAAGCTTAGCAGAAGATGATATGTTCTCTTGGGTAATTTCTAAACATCAATCTTCTGTATTTCCTCTCTTTCACATTTTAGACCTACACTTGTGCAACTTACCCACAACTTGGGATGTTTAGAGTTACCCTTCAGGCCCCTCGGGCCTATCAAAGTTTAAGCCTCAGGCCTCTCGGCCATCTTAGAAATCTTTACTCAATTGTCAACAGGTTTTATATTCGAGTCATCTCTCGAACTAAAACTCGGTCAACTCTCGCTTGTTCATTGGTCATTTCATACGTTTAATCTGTGGTCTTTTTGATGCCATCAAGTTGTAATAATCAACATATGTACTTGCCTTCACCACAGAGAAATGAAATAACAGAGGAGTTGTTTCATCACAGGCATCTCTGCCAAACACTGCCCTGGGATCATCAATATGCTGCCTTTGAACATTGGGCTAAGAATGAAGTACCCACTTTCTGAATCTTATTTTTCAAGTGGCTTTGTTATGATCATACTGATTAGGCCCTGTGACATGCCGCGAAAATTTGACATTTTTCGTGATTTATGGTTGTAATTTCGGGTTCTGAAGGACAAGGAAGAGCTTGCAGCCGTTCAAGCAAGACTCAGAAAACGGTTTGAGTTGCAGTGCATATAATGTTCTTTGTAAATCAGAAGTTGTGTCATCAGTTGGGGTAGGTGAAAAGGGTGGAGCCAAAAAATTCCCTCTTAGTTGGTAGTATAGAATTGAAAATTTCTTCATGCTTGTAATGTACATTTATTCACAAGAATGCTGTATTTATTATTATTATTATTGTTTTTTTGCCATAAGTAATGTACTTGAGGAAAGAGTTCTGTTCATGTTGATAAGAAAACTCAGAAGATTATCACAACTACAACTAGGTGCACAATCAAACCCTTGTATCTAAATCAGAATCATCACGGATTAACAATATAAGAAGGGAGAAGGATGAGAAGAATACACAATAAGTATAGAGAGGTTCGACTAAGAGGTCTACATCCACTCTGTAAGGCGAGTTTTTACTTTCATTGCATCTCAGATCAATAAGTTTTTACAAAGAACCAACACTCACGACACTCTTGCTAGAGAAGAGATGATGTATCTCAATCCCTTCTCGTCCATTTCTCTTGATTTTAGAGAAATTGCAAAGTCTCTCCACTTCTCGAAATAATAAAAAAAAATGAATTGCATGGCTCAAACATTCATGAATTCAGGTACAATAAAACAAATTTTTTATTTATGTTTCAGAACAAATGGTAAATGGAACAAGAAAGAAGAAACTTATTTTGGTTGCCGAAAGAACCGATCACTAGCTAGCCGGACTAGTGGGGGCCCTATCTGGAGACATACTGAAAATCATGTCTTTCGAACGTAATGCCCGTCTTCCAAATTAAAAGAAAAATGGGTTCGTTGGGAAGAAAGATGAATTCCGAAATTTCTATACAATTATGAGAATGTTTCAAAAAAATAAAAGAAACATGTTAGTTACAAAATTCATAGTATATAAGATGTAAAGGTAATAGAAATGTACTTAGTCAATCAATCTCCAAATTTTCGATTTCTTGTGAGAATTAGAAAGTAAAATTTATAAAAAATAAGAACTATTGAATATGGAGAATGATGATGGAAAAAAAAGAATATCCATATAAAATTTATATAAAAAAAGTATTAGACTATAAAGGTCCACAAACTTATCTAAAATAGAAAATTTGCAATATCTCTTAGTTTTTTTTTTTTCATTTTTTTAAAAATAAAATTGATGAAAATTTTTTCCTTCGGAAAAAATATGAAATGCACGCGAACAATGTAGGGGTTGGCACATGCACTTGCCACTAAGCAGATTAAAGATATATTTGTTAAATAAATATAGAGTTTTATAACTTATTCTATATTTTCTTGTTTTTTTCTTTTTTGAATTAAAAAATATCTATTGAAATATTTGTTGTGGTCATGAAATGACATTACTACATGAAGGACTATAAATGGAGGAAAGCTTAGCGGTTTGAGCAGAAGAGCAAATGATCGACTACTCAATCGATTCCAGACACTCGTTCACTCTTAGAGCGACAAGCTTCACTTAACTAAACTATTGTGAGTAGAGATATAAACTCAGCATGACTAGCAAGAGTAGATCCAACAAGAATAGCAAGAACCCGACATGCTCCCACCGATCGGATACAATATCAGACATCCAAACCCGACATGCTCCCGCAAAGTCACTCATTACTGTGACGAATGACTATTTATTGAATAACATGTCACGTTTAACTATTTATTGAATAAGATATTACATTTAAGTAGATATTGAATAACTTGTTACATTTAGCAGTAGATGGAAAATTGTGCGTAGTTTGGATGAGGCTAATAAAGTTATATTATATATATATAAAAGAAAAACATTTAAAAATATATTTCTTTTAAATTTACACCACAAAAATTTTACAAATTTGAAAGATTATATAAGTAAAAATTTCCCCGTTCCGTATAAAATTTTTTGGCTATGCCTTTGGTCACATCAACATTTAATTCCTACCAAAAAAAAGTAATAAAATCAGACTTTACTAAATTTGTTATTTAACTATTTTCATTTTTGCTATATCAAAAGGTCTTCTTCCCCATCTTTCGTTTGAATGAAAGTTTATAGGAGACATCTCTGTTCCCAACTTGCTTCTTCTGAGATCAAAAATGGAAATTAGATATTTTCAGAGGAAAAAATATCAAAATTAGATTACCGAAGTAGGAACTTGTCCCACATCGAAGACATTCAAACAACAAGTGCAATACTTAAACGGAAGTGCGAAGGGGATTGGGCACGACCTTACTTGAACAGGATCTGTTCTATAGGTTGTACAACTGTTTCCTTGAGTTCTAAGGAGGCAAGAATCATAGTCTGGTGGATGAACCACTGCCCTGCGGCTAGAGCGTGATTAATGGCTCATCGGATCTTGGTCCGGCGGCTGTAGAGGATCGTTCTCGGCATGGCTCGTCCTGCTGGGATGGTCGCGGGGCGGTCTGACAGACTACTACAATTTTTGGATTTTTGACTTCTTCTGCTATGTTGTTTTTTTTTTTTTTTTTTTTTTTGTTTCTGTTCTTGCTGGCTTCAGGTTGACATAGCTCTCTATTTTGTAGAATGGGTGCGTGTATTTTTGTGAGAACGACGAAGGATGGTTATGGGAAATGTGGATGTTCAGTTTACACTCATAAAGTGTTTGGCGAAATGCCTCAGAGAGAGGTGTAAACCGAAATGGGTAATCTAATATAAAGTTTGAGTTTTCTTTATGATAAGTTGGATGCAAGAATTTTGGTGCTTGGATTATCTTCATATCTTTTCTCTTGTATGGGAAATGTAGGTGAAGCTGAAGGGGAAGGGGATGGAGATAATGGATATGGTTGACAGTGTCATCAATATTAAACTGTACTTCACTTTATAAGTATCATTACTTTGGAAGTTATATAGACACGTAAAATCCTTTTACCATTTCCTTTCTGTACTGTTTCTATTCTCAGCTTTCTTGCGGCCAGTTTCATTGTTGAATTATATGTGTAGTTATGATGTGACTCTGCGATAGGGATGATAGTGGGTTATGAGAAATATGGATATTCTGTTTATGCTCCTCAAGTGTTTGGTGAAATGCCGCAGAGGGAGTTGGATTGGAGTTTAGGTTTTCAGTTAAACTTCAACCCAATTCCTGCATATGTTTCATGGGAGAATGAAGTCGGATCGGTTTCTTTTTGTGGGAATTAGTCAACAACTGTTTTTTTGTTGTTGGAATTTATTTTGCCATCTTGTCTTTCTATGCTAAAATGAAGGAAGGGGTGAAAGAGAAGAGGATGGGTTATTGGGTGTCTTGTGTTCACCAAAATTCATAGGCTGAACAAATGCAACATTTGGGGTGGCCAATGTGTTAGTTGATTGTTCAAAATCTACCATTCTTTGCCATTTAATACTGCCCCTTTACTGAATTTATTCACAATGGACAAACAGTATAAACTATAAAGCTTCATCACTTAGAGAAGCAATGGGAGTCTTGTTTTAGTCAGAATGGACATTTTGATAAGGCAGTTGAGAGTTGTTCAACCAAATGGAACCAACCATTGATATTTGCTTCTGCTACAAAAATGTTTCAGTTAAATCTTAAACAAACATGTTGATTGTTGTGGCCTCAATCTAAGTTACAAATAATGTGTTCAACTTCAGGTTTAGCAGACCATGGATCCCTTATATAAGTTGATTTAAAAGAACAAATCAACCTCCATTATGGCGTCGTCTCCTTCTCAGCTTCAGAAGCAGACTTCAGAAAGTCAGGTTCCATGCCAAATTTGATTTTTTATTTGATTGTGGTGGCCAACAACGGGTCCAGCTTCAAGTTTAGAAGATGATGATATCTTCTCCGTGGTAATTTCTAAACATCTCAATCTTCTGTATTTCCTGTCTTTCACGTTTTTGATCTACACTTGTGCAACTTACCCACAACTTGGGATGTTTATAGTTGCCCTTCAAGCCCCTAGGCCTATCAAAGGCCTTGGCCATCTTAGAAATCTTTGCTCAATTGTCAAAAGGTTTTATATTCGAGTCGTCTCTCTCGGTCAACTCTCGCTTGTTCATTTCGTACACTTAATTAATGGTCTTTTTTATGCCATCAGGTTGGAATAATCATCATACGTACCTGCTGTCTTCACTACAGAGAAATGAAATGACAGAGGAGTTCTTTCATCACAGGTATCTCTGCCAAACACTGCTCTAGGATCATCAATACGCTGCCTTTGAACACTGGGCTAAGAATGAGGTACCCACTTTCTAAATCTTATTTTTCAAGTGGCTTTGTTAAGATCATACTGATTAGGCCGTGTGAAATACTGCAAAAATTTGACGTTTTCGTGATTTATGGTTGTAATTTTGGGTTCTGAAGGACAAGGAAGAGCTTGCAGCCGTTCAAGCAAGACTCAGGAAATGGTTTGAGTTCAATATAATGTTGTTTGAACTTACAAGACTATGATTCAGCAATCTTTGAAAAATTTAAGCAAAAGATGAGAAGTATTGCTAAGAAAAAATTTGTGTGTGTAAGTAGGCGTTTTCCCTCTCCTTGCCTTCTTGCTTCCTTGCCACCTTTGTCTTACCAAAAGTTTAAGTTGCAGATAACGAAAATGCAAAAGAGACGAAGAAACTTTATTAAAGCATATTTATTGAAGTACCTTGTGATAAAGTCGGAGATGTTGTGGCAACATATCTTATCTTATTTTTAATTATTGTTCATTGTTTTTTATTTTTGTAATAATTTAGTTTCTTTTTCAAAAACAGATTCCTTAGAATAGATACATGCAGGATCTTATCATATCGGTTCATCCTTATCTATTCATCCCATGTAAATTTTAGTAGAAATCTAGTTCTAGTATAGTCTTTCGTTGAAGTTTCATCATTTTGTATTAGATTTCTATTTTATTAGTTATTCAATGAGTGAACTTTTTTCTTTTTTTTTTTTAACGATCTTTGAAGTGAAAGTATAACCGGAGTAAAAGACTAATTTTTTAATTACGAGATCAACCAAAGACCACCCAACTCCTATAAATTCAGCGATAATATTAAGAAAGAATAATATATTTATTTTTTGAAAAATATATTGAAAATATAAAAATGAATGTTAATAAAGTGCTATCCGTATAAATATAAAATATAATTTAAATTACAAATTTAGTAAAAATTAGATTCTTCAACTTTAAACGGATTAAATTAATATAACTTAAAGGGTGTTTGATAAAGAATTTGATCAAGTCCGTGAAGGTCGGCAATGGGCGAGCTAACTTTTATGAACGAGTCTTACTTCAACGTTCAACTCAGTAGTTGGTCGATCTATACTCGAGAGATAATATTGTTTTGAGTACCTGAAATTAAGGCGGGAAAACTCTATTTATAGGTGGAACTTTCAACAACCCTCCAATAACTCTCCAACGGTTCAAGAAATTTGGCGTGTTGGAATTCTATACCTGCAAAAGTATGTGTTGATCGACTCGACTGATGACTAAGGCGTCCGATGTATAGGTTTGGACTTGGCTCATGACTAATTATTAAATAAAATTAGTAAATGATAAATTATGTATATTTAATTCACTAATTTAAGTAAAAGACAAAATTGCCACCAAATTTTTGTTAAAAAGAGTTATAAAATAGGGCAAAAAATTGACCTAAAATTTTATTTTTCCTAATAGTAGCTTTTATATATACTATATATACATGGATGAAGAGATAATTTCATTAATGAGTATCTATTTAATACATAAAAACATAAATATAAAATTTTATTATATACTCATTTTAATTAGATATTTTATTTGTAATATTTAATTAAATTCATGAAACTTTATTTTTTTATATTGAAAAATAAAACTATTTAGGAAACTTGCAAGGATTTCAAATTATGATCCATATTTATTTAATAATTTTAATGTAATTTTATTGCTTTCTAGATTTTATCACTTGGGAGCATATTAAGTAGGAGTATCTTAGTCATTTCACTCGATGGTTTTTGTCATCAAGTTATTTTAGATTATATCAGTTTTTAAATGAATTTTAGCCTTTAATTAGTTAGAAGTTTCTTGAGACTTTTGTAATTAATATCTTGATTTCAAGGTAATCTGTCTCTAACCCAAGTCTTTAAGTTTAAAATCGGATGGACCAACATTCAATTAGGGAATTGTTCTTCGTCACAAGAGTTTCGATCTTAAGATAATTCATCTCTAACCTAAGTTATAAGGTTGAAATCGAATTAATAAAATTAGATGTCCATAGAAAATTTTTGGAATTTTATTTTTACAATTTTTTTTAACGGTGGAATCCACGAAAAAGTTCCATGTTGTTAAAAAAATACAAATAAATTCTCTAAGATAATTCTCTATTGTTTCAAAATTAAAAGTTATTTTCCCCTTCCCTGTAAAATTAGTTGGCTATGCCTTTGTCCCATCAACATATTTTTTGAGACATAGTCACATCAAAATTTAATTCCATACAAAAAAAAAATTTGTAATAAAATCACACTTTACTAAATTTTGTTATTTAACTATTTTCATTTTTGCCATATCAAAAGCTCTTCTTCCCCATATTTCGTTTGAATGAAAGTTTCTAGGAGACATCTCTGTTCCCAACTTCCTTCTTCTGAGATCAAAAGTGGAAATTAGATATTTTCAGAGAAAAAAAAAATCAAAATTAGATTACCAAATTATGAACTTATCCCACATCGAAGGCTTTCAAACAACAAGGGCAATACTTAAATGGAAGAGCGTTGTCAAGTGGGCACGACCTTACTTGAACAGGATCTGTTCTATAGGTTGTACAACTGTTTCCTTGAGTTCTAAGGAGGCAAGAACTAACGTCTGGTTGATGAACCACTGCCCTGCGGCTAGAGTGTGATTGATGGCTCTACCGGATCTTGGTCCGGCGGCTGTAGAGGATCGTTCGCGGCATGGCCTCGGTCCTGCCGGGATGGTCGCAGGGCGGTCTGACAGACTCCTACAACTTTTTTTCCCTTCTGGGTTTTCTTTCTTTTTGCTTGTGTTTAAACGAATCGAAGAAGATAGAGGCGTTCGTTTTTTGAATTTGATTTGCTTCGTTTTCGTAATTTTCAGTACAGACACCATTCCCTTCCATTCCCATGTCCTCCGGCGACCTTTTCTGTTCTTCTCCATCCCTTTTAAGCCCTCTTTTTTACTCTCTTCCCATTACTTGACAACAACCATTCACTTCTCACAACCACCRACGCCTTCTCTTCTTCTTCTCCACGCATCCCGAGACCTTCATAGGCTGAAGCAAATCCATGCTTCTATCATTCTCTCATCTGGGTTCGACACTGTCTCCACCGCCTCCAAGCTCGTACGCCTCTATGCCCACTTTGACGATCTTCCCAGTGCCGTCTCTGTTCTCAATGCCTTCCCTGCACCTGAACCCGTGTTGTGGAACTCGATCATCAAGTCTCACGTTGAATCGGGTTTGTTTGTTTCTGCCCTTTTGTTATATGAAAAGATGAGGGAATTGGGAGTTGAGCACGATGGCTTTACGTTTCCGATGGTGAACCGAATTATTATGTCGATTCAGCTTGATGTGGTCTATGCGGGAATGGTTCACTGTGTTGGAATTCGGATGGGGTTTGGTGCGGATTTATATTTCTGTAATACAATGATAGAAGTTTATGGGAAATGTGGGTGTTTGGTTTCTGCTCGTAATGTGTTCGATGAAATGCCTCACAGAGACTTGGTTTCTTGGATGTCGATGATTTCGGTGTATGTTTGTAGGGGTGATGTTGTTTGTGGTCTGGATCTTTTTGAGGGAATGAGGAGGGAGTTGGAGCCGAATTCGGTGACGATAATGGTGATGGTGCAAGCGTGCTGTGCGACTGGAAATTTGAGTCTGGGAAGGTAGCTTCAGAGTCGTGTTTAAGAATGGTTTGTTGTTTGATATAGGTCTGCAGAATTCATTGTTGCGAATGTATACTTGTCTAGGCAGGGAAGATGAAGTTGGAGTTTTTTTCTCTGAAGTTGATCGCAAGAATGTTGTTTCTTGGAATSTTTTTATATCCTTTTATTCCTCTCGAGGGGATTTTGTGAAAGTTGTGGATATCTTCAACAAAATCATGGGTGAAGTTCTACTCAGCGTTGAGACACTAACCATACTTGTATCAGCAACCGCTGCACCTGATTCCGAGCATCTGATCCTAATCTACATTCTCTAGCAATTAAAAGTGGCCTTTATGATGGTATTCTTCAGACTTCCTTTTTGGATATGTACGCCAAGTTTGGGGAGTTGGAAAATTCAACTAGGTTGTTTAAAGAAATCCCTCGTAAAAGCATCATCACCTGGGGAGCTATGATGTCTAGTTATTCAGAATGGACATTTTGATGGGGCGGTCGAGATCTTCAACCAAATGCAAGCTGCTGGCTTGAAACCCAGTGTTGGAATTTTAAAACACTTAATTGATGCATACACCCATTTGGGTGCTCTGCAATTAGGGAAAGCAATACATTGTTACCTTATCCAACTCAACGGATTGGAGATCTATAATACGCAGTTAGGAACATCTATCCTTAACATGTATGTAAGATGTGGAAGCWTGGTTTCTGCTATAAAATGTTTTGATTTAATCTTAATCAAAGATGTTGTGGCATGGATTTCCAATTGAAGGATATGGTGCTCATGGACTAGGTTTCGACGCCCTCAATCTGTTCCTTCAAATGATGAGAGAAGAAGTGACCCCAAATAATGTCACTTTCTTAAGTCTGTTATCTGCTTGCAGCCACTCTGGCCTTGTAAGCGAGGGCTGTCAAATCTTTTATTCAATGAGGTCAAGATTCAACATCAAGCCCGAATTAGAACACTATACTTGTCTTATTGATCTTTTGAGTAGATCAACAAGAGTAAGGGAGGCCTTTTCAATTATATTGAGAATGACAAATTTTCATGATGGCAGGATATGGGGTGCTCTTATGGGGGCGTCCTGAGTGTATGGAGACAATAAAATCGCTAACTATGCTGCACACAGGCTTCTTGAATTAGAACCTGATAATGTAGGCTATTATACTTTGTTGAGCAATGCACAGGCTATTGTTGGGCAGTGGCATGAAGTTGAAAAATTACGAAGTGTTGTGAATGAGAAAGATCTTGCCAAGAAACCGGGTTGGAGCTTCATTGGGTTAAAAGGAATAATTCATGGATTTGTTTCAGGAGATAGATCACACGATAAGACCAAGGAGATTTATGATTTATTGGTATATCTTAATAGGATAAAATAGCATAGGATATCTGTTTATCTGAGTAACAATAATCGGTCAAGGAGGCGTTCTATGAAACTTGGAATTCTTTTGGCATCTTTATGCTCCCCAGATGAAACACGAGCATATTGGTTAACCTGCCATGCGACAATAGCATGTCATGAAATCATTTGAAATGATTGAAAGACCAGTTGGGAGCGAGCATTTGGACTATGAAAGAAATCAGAAGAATAAATATTCTTTGAAGTTTGAAGCATGAACAGATTGAAGGGAGAAACCTAATTAGTTTTGATGGTCAGGTAATGCTTTTCATTCTCTCTAAATTGTGGTTTACGGTCATTGTGTTTCATGTATTCTCCAGTAATGTGAATCATCTATTAACTTGCAAATGCATCATACTAGTTTTTCATGCAAAAATCATGTATACTGTTCCCTCAAATCGCCCCCTGCAACTGATCTGACAGGTTCCTTA